CCTGGACAGAAAGTATAAAACTTAATGAAAAATAAATGTTGGTACCTGTTCTAATAATACAATTTTAAAATTCAAGGTAGGCATTTGTGGTCGAACCGGCAGTGGTAAATCATCTTTAGTGATGAGCATTTTGAATATGGTTCCAATTAGAGATGGATCAATAATGATTGATGGAGTTGATATCAATAATGTTCCTTTGCAAAGCTTGAGATCCCGTATTTCTGTAATACCTCAAGATGTCAAAATGTTTGGTGGTACAATAAGGCAAAATTTAGATTTAAAAAACGAGTACTCAGATAATGAGATTTGGAGTAGTTTGAGAATGGCTCAAATGGAAGATACAGTCAAGTTACAATTAGGAGGACTTGGTAAGCCAAATATTTAACAACTATTCAGTATATTATTTAGTAATATATAAGTACAATAACTCATATTGTGGACATGCGGTACCTATTTTGATGTAAATATTCAAAAAAAAAAAAACAGAAGTATAGTTTTTTTTTAAGCTATTAAAACGTTCACGTCATATGATAACAAGCCTTAAAAAAATAGTTGAAAATTAAACATTTAATTACGGTGACAGGTCATTACACGTCATTTTTATCTACATATTTTAGGTAGGTATCACCAAAAGTCGTACAGGAGTAGCCGAATTAGTTTCCGTCTGTGTCCAGGTCAAATAGTTATAATTTTCATTTTTAAACATCATGTATAATTGGTACAAAATATAAATTAGATAGTATACAATTTAAATATACCTAACCTATACAAGAAAATATACTCCGATATTGATTCCCCGATCGGTTAAGTTGATTTTTCGATACTAAGGAGTTTATGTTAAATAAAAAAAGAACTAAGTCTTTGATTATCGACAATTACAAGTTCAGATTCCAAAAAACCCTTGCAGAGGTTAACATACAGAGGTAGTCAGGTAGATATGTACAGAAACGAAAATGTAAGGCTCACGTGAAATTGAATGGAGATTATTTATGTAAAGAAGTCTTAATACATAATCATTAAAGAGAAAACGCGTGTAAATAAACGGGAACCGATTCGGCTTACCTTAATAAAATACCTTTTTCAAACGAGAACCAATTCGGCATGTGGGGTTGGATACATCAAAATCAAGACCTGCGAAATACCTAATATATAGATTAAATATATTTGATTATAAAAAATATAAATACCTACTAGTATTTAAAAATTATGATTAATAACCATTTGTTTTTTTAGCTAAAATCTTAATAATGTCTGTATTGATTATTCTATTGGTCACATGACCACATGACAATTTGATATTTGATTTGAAATGATTATGAAAAACTAACACAAGTCACAAATCCAAATGTGTCAGTTTTGTTATTTTAATCATTTAATACCTATTGCTCAACGGCTATAAGTCGTGATCTCATTTTCTGATTGTGATTCAAATAAATTACTTAGAATTAAAATTATAATATTCAAGCAAGATACATAGAACAATTTAAAAGCATTAAAGTAACCATTTAGGGGTTAATTAAATTTTAAATTTGGATTTTATCAAAATTATATTGTGTAGCTGTGACTTCTAGCTGCAATTTTGAGTACTAAGGGTGCAGTTTATCTATGTAAAAAAATAATTCTTCTTTTCCTTTGGGGTTTTTCGGCCATTAAGACCATCCCGTCACACATCCAATTCTCCAACCTTCCCTATCCAGCGCTCGTACTTTCCAGTCCGGTCCTTCTTTCAGTGCTTCCGGGTCTATTTTTTTATAATATCTTCCCACCTAAACCGAGGTTTCCCCAGTGGTCTTTTACCAATGGTCCATGGTCATTCTTATTATGTTGTTCTGACTTCGCATAGCGTGTCCAGCCCACTGAAGTCTCCAGTTTCTAATTGTGTTCACTATGTTATCTTTTTTTAATAGATTTTCCAGTTCATTGTTTTTTTCTCATTCTCCACTCTTCCGTTTCACTGGTCAAAAACATTTTCCTAAGGATTTTCCTTAAGATCAGTAGTTTTCTTTCTTCATTCGAAAAAGTTATTATAAAACATAAAGTATTTAGTTTTGCAAGTTTTAAAAAAAATAAATATAGATATTATAATAGTCAACATTTTAATGAATAAATTAGGTATGGTTAATTTTAAATTAAATTAAATTTATAAACAAGAAAAAATTTAAAATTAAAATCGCATACTTATATATAATTATACTTATCGGTTATTTTAACAGAAGGAATAGTAAATAATTCTGGTGATAATTTGAGCAGTGGACAAAAACAGTTATTATGTCTGGCAAGAGCTATTTTGCAAGATAATGTTTGTCTTATTATGGATGAACCGACCAGTTCCGTAGACGACGTAACAGAAAACAAATTATTAGAAGCGATAAAAAAATCATTCAATGGCCGAACAGTCATAACAATTGCTGTAATTATAATTTATTTAAGTGCTCGCATATTGAGTTTTATAGTAACAATATAATATTAAAGTATTATTATGTTTTGTCATAATTTAGCATAGATTATCCACAATAGTAGACTATGATCGAGTACTTATTCTAGAGGGAGGCAAGATTATCGAAGATACCACACCATCGTGTATCAAATTTTTTCCAGAATGTCTTTGAATTAATAAATATTATTTTGTAAAGAAGTACACTCGATTACCATGATCATTTTAATGTTGCAAAGGTATAAGTACCTAATACAATATTAAATCAACAAAATAATATGTTGTTCGATTTAATAGGTTACCTACAACCTACAAGATTATTTTATTATTTTATTTGTACAAAATAAATAAATAATAAAACTGGGCTGCGAATTATGCCTTATCTGATAAATTTAAAAATAAAAAAACATGATCAATGCAATTACTTATCTCCATATTATATATTATTGAGTATAAGTACAGGTAGTTGTCAAGTATTTCATTGTAATGAATGTGATAAATTTGAATTCAATGATAAATAGTTGGATACTTAAAACGATTCAGAGCGAAGACGAGTCAGCCGAGCATAGGTACTTGATAAATAATCAAGTTTAATGGGTAATTTAAGAAAAATGTATAAAACTAGAAAAATTTGTTATGGCTATTAATAGCTCAAAAAAATTCAAAATATATTGAACATTTTATTATGTAGGTATGAAAAATGCAATGAATATAAACATCAGGTTAAAACGTTAAGTGTCTATGGTCAAAAATGACAAAGCATTAAAGAAATTATTAATAACATTTTATTGTATCTGTAAAATTCCATTTTAGATTCATTGAATTAAAATAATGACGCATCCATTACTATCGACATACTCGACAACGTACTACTGTATAGCAGAGCAATACCCACTTGACCTCTTTTTTTAAGCTTAAAATATATGTATTTATATTTTGGTGAAAAATATGCTAAAATGGCCCACAATTTTAGATTCTGATAGATCCGATGAATGTATTGATTTTACAATGATGTGTGTTTTTATATTTAGTTTTTTTTTTATTATTATTAACTAAGGTGTGATTGTTTTTTACCGGAAACTTATATATTAGAAGATATTGCTGTTTTAAGTTTACGGTTATATGGCGAAGAATGGCCTATCACCTAACCATAATATAACAAAGGTCTATGGTTCTCCTAACCCGAGTCCAGAGCTATAAATATAACTCCAACCTCCCCTTACAACAAGGAAAGTATACATAAATGTAATTATTATGTTCATTTATTTATTATATAATATGCAATTATTATGGTAACACCCCCACCCCCCATATTAAATTCCTCTCTATAACACTATATAAGCACTGAATACTTGCTCCACTGTACTACTGTACTTCTATAATTCCAAACTAACCAAACTAGACCAATAGAGTATAGAGAGTATAGTTGTGAACACCATACGCAATATGCAGATAGATACCACGTGGCATAGATGGACAATGGACTAAGATCTATATTTACAATTATTTTTTTATTACACTATTAGTTATTTCTTCATTAAAATTGACTCTTAATTTGTGATGTTAGCAATCAATTTGTTTTCTCTCTCTGGCCCACCACCCACGAGGCTTAGTGGAACATCCGAAAGACTGAATAGCAAAATAGAGTAAGTCATTAAGAACATTTTCTGTCTTTGTACATAAGTTTTTATTTTTATAGATATTTCAATGTTAATGCAAGCTATATGTCGGTAAAATAATACAAATTACAATTTAAGAATACCCAAGTATAGCAAAATAATTGAAATATCATAGAAAAATCCAACACATAAACATAACTAACATTTTACTATTTTATTGAAGCTAACCACAAACAATTGATTTGCAATATTTGCATATTGTTAACATATTATGTTGCATGTGGGTTAAAGAGAAAACAAATAGTGCACATTCATTTTGAATTTACTTAATTTCTATTTCATTCACCTAAGGTTGAATAGAAGTTTCAATATATTCACTTTCTGGTACTACTCTTCATGAATAATTCCCATTACATCATCTTACCGCCATCATTTCCAACTTCTTCAGTTAAATCTAGATGGTTTCCCACAGCAATTTGTATCACAAATTCTTTAGTTCATCTTTACTTTTGGTCATCAAATAAATTTAGTTCAGATATTATAATCTACCATATTCTATTATTCTATAATTCAAAATTCAAAATATAATATGTGTATATTATATACGTCTTAAAAGTGATAAAGGAAATGAGTCATGTGCAACTTCTTAGTTCCTCTATAAGATTATCAATACAGGAATATTTTTTGAAACTACCTATTGAAGTTTCATCTTTAAGTACTAGGTATACCTAGATGGCAGCAGAGGTGTAGTAGTGTTCAAACAGATCCTCCTCTGCTGTCGGTTTAAACGAAGAAAAAAAAAAAAAAGTTTGCCTAGATAATGTTCTCCACTGTCCTTAATATTATGATTACCATCTAGTTTTCCTATTATATAAATACTTTTTGAATGATGTTGAACATGGGATGAAGGCCAAACATATCATAGCACCACTTGAAAAGTGTAAATGTATATTAATAGCATAATTTATTTTTAATTGGTTTCAAAACAATGTATACTTAACTGAACACTTCATACACAACATAACAATGAGTAGATAAGTTAAGTCATTAAAGAGAAACAGGATTGTGCCAAAACTTTAATTACCTAAATGGCGATAACAGTAATAAATAAAAAAATTGAATTTAAAAACCTACAAATTGTATTTAAAAAAAAAAGCAAAGTATAAGCATCATTTAAAACTTATAATTCAGCATTACTTTTATGTTGTGTAATTGATTACATTAAAGCAATATTAAAAAGAGTAACCCCTATTTCAATATGTAATACAGTGCTTGATTTGGAAAAAAAATTAGGAGACGTATAAATGCGTAATTGTACAAGCTATAAAATCTATAAAGGCTTATGGTTCAAAATAATGAATATATTTTCCAAAAAACGAAAAAAACATGAACAACCCCTATACTATGCAAGTTTAAGTAGTAACTCTATAAGGAATTTTAACAATCAATGTTTTGGTAAGTATAAAGTAAAAATATTAAGGCTATTATATTTGTATCAGAAAATCTGACAGTTTACTAATTCACAAATAAATATTGCGTTCCCAGCGTTCTGTTTCAAAAAAATAGGCGTGCGCACAAAAAAAAAAAGTAAGAAGACCCTGTCCCCTCCTCCACAAATCAAGCACTGATGTAATGTTACAAAAAATTATACTTATTCAAAATTCAAATAGATATATAACCTGAATGTCCAATGAATTATAAAAATGTTAAAAACAATGTTTAAGGGCAAAAAATCAAGATGATTGCTTTAGATATCATATGCAGGTAATCCAGCCTTTTTTTTTGTAAAATGTTCAGCATGCTTTTCTGGAGTGATGTAGTACGGTGCAACAGTATTATCAGCAATCATTAAGGATTTCCATTCTGTCTGGAAATTACAAAACAATACAAAGCTTTAAATATATAAATATAATTTTATTATTTACTCAAATCTCACCAGTCTGGGAAATTTGTCTTCAAAAGGTATAACATACGTCCCACGAGAATATGGATTTATGGCATCTAAACGCTCAAACCAAGGCCATATCATATAGTCAACCATATTTGGCTTGTTACCTAAGAATTAAAATAATAAATTCATCAATGGTTCTCATATACAAGTATAGGTTTAATATGATATCAATGGCTTCAAATAAACCTTACAGCATTGGTTAAAGAATAGACTATTCTATAGTCAATGCTTACAGATATTCCGAAAGTTCATTATGATATCTATTGAGACTTAAGAGGATGTTTCTCTTGCATGCATTGTCAATCTGTAAGAGTGCGTATTAACAAATTTACCTACAGCAGTTCTCATATAGTTTATTAGACTGAATTCGCCTAATATTTAACATATAGGTAAAAACATTTTCTGAGGTAGACGTTTTTTTCGAAATTTTGATTTTGAAGTGAGTTTATGATCATTTTTGAATATTTTAATATTTTACACACTATCTTTAAAATTAAAATATCTAGAAAATACTTTAAACCTAACACAGATAATGTTGTTAACTTTATGTTAAACAATATTATTATATCAATGATAATAAGTAAATTTAATCTTACAGTCTTATAATTTAAATTAAAAACAAATCAGAATAGCTGAACGTAAACTTGCTCTGTTACACACTTTAAACGCTTTAAGACGGAGACATCACATGTATGTCATCTAGGTAGGGCACACACTATAATACTACATTAGACATAAACTAGCAACAACATACTACATACCATATAAAGGTATCTAAATAATATTTAAGACTTGTAAACAATTTAATTGTTGTATTCAGTTTAAAAAGCAATAACTATTTATACTTGACAAAAAAATTAGAAACAAGTGTACAGATATCTTATAAAATTTTGTTAATCGCAATTCTACAAATGTTAATTAGATATTTAAATAGGTAGCATATTGAACTAATGAATAATGTGTTAATAATATACTAAATAGATACTAATGATATAAAGATTAGCATGCTTTCAAAAAGTTTCCCTAATTTACAAAAATCAATAGAACATTGTTTATTTGTATTTGTTTACTTGCCTCCAAAAAATTTGAATCCTCTTTCAGCTAGTTCGGTTTCAATGGGAATTAAACTATCAACAAGTTCATCAAAATTGTTTTTTTCTATTTCTTTTGTGGTCATTATTACCTTATAAAATGCTGTACCTACCTAAATATTAAATACAATAATTTCATAAAATAAACATCGAATGCCATTTGTTTACTCATTTAAGTAAGTATTTTACCTATAACATTACAGTAAACACAATAAAACCATTTATTACTATATTTAAAAAAGTAAATCAAACAATGATTTACTTCTTAGGCTATATAGTGTACCTATTTAAATTTATTTCACTGTTTTGTAAACTATTAGTTAAGTGGAGTATTTTAGCTACATGCACTTACTTTCCCGAAAGACTCTATGAAGAGCTTGTCCAAAATTTTCTGGAGAGGACTGCCATTTTGCAAAGGCGGTTCGGGGTACTGTTCGTCAAGGAAATCTGCCAGCAGCAGGCTTTCAGAGAGAAACTTGCCATCATAAATCAAAGCTGGAACCTTGCCAGCAGGGAAGATTTTCAAGTACCATTCAGGCTTTTCTGACAGATTAATGAACACCGTGTCATGACTGTAATGGAAAAAATTATCGGAACAGATCGGCAGATTGGTGACCAAACAGTGGATTACTCACGGCAAGCCCTTGGCATTCAACACCAGCTGGACCCTCTGTGCATAGGGACAGAATCGCATAGAGTAGAAGCGCAATGAACCCGGCACCTTTGGCGGTTCAGTGGAATCTGGAAGAAGCATGAAAAACAATTAGTTCAGTTCAACAACGGAAATAGAATTTCACCAATTCTGTGGTCCAACAAACAAGACGTGACGTCACATCACACTTACCTTTGGACAAGTGTTTGATGGCCATAGTTGTTTCAACGAACGGTCTGAGGTCTGACGACTGACGAAAATCTGTCACGGACAAAATATAATTTTAATTTTAATTAGGTATTTTAAATCGGTGGAAACGGTAGACTTTTTCTTACGATTTAAAATCTGCGTCGGAAGATAAGAGACCGCTGTTGTTGATAACACGGTCGTGTACTTATTGAGTTTTATAAAAATGCAAAATCCGATTACTGCAGTCTTAAATAAGTATAAACCCATTAGTGGTCAACGTGGGGGGGATATGGTGGGATCTGAACTTAGTGTTCAGGTGTTCCGAAGCCCAAATCGTTTAACTTCGACCTATTAAAAAACTTTAGGACATTATAATTTAGAGGTGGGGTTTGAAACCGGATTTTCCGGTTTCGAATTTGAATTTAATACCTAAATAAAATTATTATAGGTTTCGGATTTTAAACTAATATAGGTACCGATCTCCAATTTTTTCCGGTTTAGGTTATTTAACGGTTTATACCGGTTTCAAGGCCGGTAACAATAGTTAGTGGCGCAGCGAGAAACTTGATGGCCCTTGGGCCATAAGAGACAGAGGCCCCCAATTTAACACAGATAATTAATTATAACAAAAATATTGACTAACCATCTAAACACATGAATACACAAAATAATTTTGCCATGCGATTTGTTCTATTATAGAGTTATAGCCCTTGTTATAGCTTATGGTGAAGGTGAACCAGTGTTTGAGACATTCTCTAAAAAAATGAATTCGTTCACGTTCAGCCCTTAAAAAAGGAACTCGTTTACGTTCACGTTCATTGAAAAAATAAATGCGTTCACTAGGTTGTACATTTAATTTTTCTAATTTTAATAATAGGAATTAATTATATAATATAACTAATCAATATTTTTTAAATACATACATATTTATTAAATGGAAAATAAATTGAGCGCCTTAAAAATCGTTAAAAAATTAGTAAAATAAAAGCATCGTTCAAGTTCAATTTAATAAAAACAAGTGACGTTCGCATATCGTTCACTAAATATGAACGTGAACTTGTGAACGACGTTCTTTCTAAACACTTATGTTTTTCGCCGGTTGGTCATCAGTTCGCCCAGTTTGCTGTCTCCGGCGTATTTACCGGTACAGGAGGAACACGGCAACCGGCCAGAAAAATCCAACTGTCTATTTCGACCCTAAATAGTGATTCTAGGAACTAATAATAATTATAAGGATGTATAAGGATTCTAAGGAGACGACGGCTTACAAATTACAATATTTTCATCAATAGGTTATAAAGCTGCGAAGCTTACAACATGATAGTCGCAACCTTAGAATTGGAAATAATATTCTTTAGAATAGCTATGCCGCAAATCTGCAATTACTGCGTACACGCATAGAACAAGTTATGATAATTTATTTGTATATTTATAGCCGCCCGTTTGAAAAACCAATGCAGTTTATAATTAGATATTAATAATAAACAAGATAATAAACGCCACCGCTGTACATTTTTTTTCGTATTTCAAACAAATTATTTTCAACATAAATATAATTTAAATTTTTTTTAAAAATGTACAGTACTTTTTTTAGGCCCCGGCCTAAATACGTCCCTGAGACCCTGATAATAGTATAGTACAATCACCAGAATACATTTTAAATTGCACCCATATCATTTATTGACTACACTAAAAGTCACAAAATATGCATCAATATAATTGTTAGAGAAATTTTAAATAATAATTAAATTAGTTTGTGTGATGAGACGACAGTACAGTGCGAGTATAATGTTCTTTCACGATCCTTTTACGATAATAAATGATGAAAGTTTTTTCTACCCGGTAGTAAGATAATTTTACATTATTATTTTGATATAAATATATATTTATTTATTAAACTGAAAAAGGTTAGGTTAGGTTAGGTTAGGTTTTACCTATATAAGTATATAACAATGTAACACACTGAACGTAGCAACGATTAATGTGTGTGTGTGTGTGTGGGTGTATGTGTGTCGTGTGTGTAGGTACATTAAGGGATTTTAATATAAAGTAAACATACTCCACAAATAACAAATTATTATCCCTTAGATAAATCGAATCAACGGAGAGAATGGTCGTCGTGTAGACTGTTGATTAAAACGCAGAATAGGTATTAATTTTATTTGGAGGTATTTTAATAGTCTTAAAAAAAAAAAACTATAAATGAAATTATGTGGATTTTATTGCATTAAATACAAAAAACAATTCAAACCATACATATTTACAACATAAATATTATTGTTTGTTGATTTATTTCAAAAGTTCTCAGAACTTATACCAAAGCTTAATATTTTTCTTGTGCAGTTGTACAGTCATAGTAGTTACACTAACATTTGGATTAATACTTATAATTAAAATTCCTAGTGCAGTTTGCTCTATTTCTAATTATATATTTAAAAAATAGTTTTTAACATAAAATCAAAATTTAATGCAAATTTCCCATCTAAATAATTATAATTTATGTTATATTATATATATATTTACATTAATTTATATTATTTTTATTCATATTTACTTTTTTTATTTTAATGTTCATAGCACATTATGGTGGTTGTAAATTAATTTTAAAATACAAAATACTCCTATCATTCAAGTTACCCTATCTTGTAAATCTAATTTTATACCATCACTTATGTTTATCATACTTAAAGTGTATAGATTGTAAGAATCAAATAAAAATTAAAAACAAAAATATAAAAAACCTCCAACTTAAAAATATAAAATAATAGTTAATTGTACAGTTTCTATATGCTATTCGATTTCTTTACTAAAAAAAGGGAACAGCGGACGATAGTGGCAATTTAGTTGCCTATTCTCCAGGCCGTGAAGGCGCAGTGGTTCCACTACAAATGTCTACAAGAGAAAGCAGAACCACAGAACAATAATGTATAACTATTAAACCATCAGTGGTGTGGAGTGGGCTTTAAATGAGTGTAAACAGCGGTACATACTAACTTACCCCTCCCCCCAAATTATCACTCATATTACTTCCTAAAATATAATAATAATACTATAAAAGGCAAGTTAAAATGTTGTACTCATTACACTACCTCTAAAAAAGAAACAGTATATTGCTGATTCTAAATCTGAGCAGTGAGCATATTTCACTGTTCAACTTGTGTTTTGACCCAAATATTATCCATGAAGTGTTACCGGAAGATGAAAAACTCTAAAAAAAAATCAATTAAAATTTGTGAAAATTACGTAAAAATCATTTTTCTTTTTTTTTTGGTTTACCTGATTAAATTTATTTTTTATAGACCTGAGCCATTCTCATTATAAATTACAGGTTTCAATTGTTTCTCAAAAAAAGCCTATAAAATAATACCATTATTATTATTAATATATTTTTTATTTCATCCACGTAAACTGTAAAAATTAACTTTACTGAAATTGTACTTACCAGTGTTTGATTTAGTGTCTATTGTTGATAATTTTTTTAGTGCAATAAATTCTCCGAGAGGGTTAGATCTGTATAAGTGGATCTTATACGTTATGAAGGTTTATCATTTTTTAGTTATACGCTTTATTGGCGTAACTAGGGGAATGCAATACGGTTTTAGCACAACCAAGTTAAATTTAGCACTTTTTATTTTTGAGGCCCACGTCTTACTATTATTATCATAGTGAAATACTATAAACTTTATGTTTTTAAATTATAAAATGTGTATCGACATTTTTTTTTAAATATATTAGTTTGTTATAAATTATATTGATGTTCGCCTAGGTAGCCTGTGTATTACTATTTACTGGTAAACCCTCAAAAATGTTTTACTAATTACTAACGTTTAATCGTACAAACCTTAATAGATTATTAATATAAAGTGTACCTACTTATTATGTAGGTAAGCATATTTTGTTTTTACCATTAAAATTAAGTTTGTTAAAATGTGAACAAAGTTTTTGAGTATCAATTATTAGAAAAAAATCTTTAATACAATTATAATAGCGAATGTGTAGCCGCGATATCTGAGGTCGGCCGTAACATTCCCTGATCGGCCGCAGCATCTCCTCATCCGCCGCCGCATTTTCTCCTTGTCGGCCACGACATTTCCTTATCAGCCGAAGCATCTTTGGTCGTCTAACTAAAAATTAACTTTTATTTAATTATAGGGTTAATTATACATTCAAATATGAAACAATTACTAAGTTATAATAATATAGATTAAAATGTTAACCCCTTAATTTACTTCTGTTATTTTTCGCTATGGTTGTCAGATGTAGTTGGTCATAAACTCATAACTCATAGTACATTAAAACATAGTACCTATTGCTGCGATTCTTATAATATTAAAATATAGTCAATATGGTGCTTAATATGGACATCGTATGTATCCATACTAGTATCTACATAATATGGTCTCCCGAGTCCCGAGGTGGACATCTGTCACCACTTTTATTCTCTTTGTTTGTTAACAGTGCTCGTATCTTCCTTAAGCATAGCCAACTTCTCTGTTTTGCTGATTACATGAAGATTTTCCTTAAGATTTACTCAGTCGATGATTGTCTCAAACTCCAGGGCGATCTTAATAGTTTCTCTGCCTGAACTGAAGCTCTCGGTCTTACGTTAAATGTTAATAAATGCCGGTCAATGGTATTCACCAGAAATCGCTCTCCTATCACTTTTTCTTACACTACGTTTGGCTCTAATTTGATTCCAGTTGATTCTAGCATGTGTCTTGTGATCTTGGATTTACTTTTACTTCCTCTCTTTGTCCTCGTGCCCTAATAGAATTACATGAAAAGCTCTACAGGTATTAGGTTTCATATCTGATGAATATCTGGTGAATTTAAACTCACCAGCTCTCTTAAATCCTTATATTTTGCACTTGTATGACCTATCGTTGAATATAGCTCAGTTGTATAGGATACTCAAACAGCTGATACCTGTTTACAACTCGAACAGGTTCAGCGTAAATTCTTATGCTTTATGAAATATTCCTTGAATTTAAACTGCACCCCTCATGATTATACTCCCCTTCTCCGTCTCCTTAACATATCTTCCTTAGCCGACCGTCGCCGATTTCATAATTTTGTTTTCTTAACGAGCTCTTTCGGGCTTTGTCGACTCCCTTTCACTCCTTGCCTTATTAAACTTTAAAGTTCCTGTCAGATGCACTCGCAATATGCATACTTTTTTTATCCCACGTTGCTCAAAAATGTATTTAAAAAACGAGCCCATTAACCGTATGATGAAGTTAGCTAATGTACCCACTTGGGGAGGTGTTGCATAGAAAATCGAGGGATATTTTCGTTAGCGAAAGCATCGCTCACCCAATACAGTAGGAAAAAATATTTTTACGCCAGATACATGGCAAAATGTATGTTTTTGAAACAATGTAGTGCTAAAAAAGTTGAACCTTTGTCTGCATTTTTTTAATTTGCTGGCCATTTATACTCGGCAGCTGCGCACACCGGAAATGGGGATTACGTAATTGCCGAAGACTCGGACAGTTTCAATGCCGACGATAGTACAGATTACGATATCGACATGTAAATAAATGATAATAATATAATGATGATTACCTATACCAGAAATTTGTTTATCTTTTTTTTACTATAGTAGTGTTGCGCACATGCATATCAACGTAAAATCGCAAACTTTGGATAGCTATAACTTTCAAAATAATGGTTTCCGCAAATTTGTTTGGCACTATCGTTCTTAACTCGTCGAAATACGTCTATCTCGAAAAAAATTTTTTAAAAATGTGCTGGGTTGCTTAAGTGAATTTGTTCCCCACGCTTCACAGTCCCCAATTGATGTTCTGTCTACTTCTATTAGTCTATGATTTTACCAATGATTATAAATATTATGAATGACTATAAAAGTTAACAGCATACTCATATTCATATAGTCATATGGTACAATTGTACAAAGCACCTAAATAATAAATAATAGCATAACAAATATACGGAAATTAGCATTAACCACGGCTGTAGATACTACCTACAACCGTTGCATCACTTGCATATAGTATGGGCTATGACGTTGTGTCTTTGTGTTCATGTAAGTATGTTGCACATTAGCACTCAATTTAGCAGTTACCACGGTCAGGGCCGTATTAGGGCATAGACACTATAGGCACTGTGCCTAGGGCCTACGAACATTTTAGGGCCTACGAAAATGAAATGAATGGCTACGATTTTTCTGTAATCATTTTTTTTTATTTTAAGTCAATTAACTATCTGTAGATGTTGGCACAACAAACAAAATATTGTGTTTAACATTTCTCATATATTTACACTCAATGTTCGTTATCGTAATTCGTAATAATTACTTATTGAAATCAGATTGGATAAAACCAATAACCGATAAAATGCATACGGTATACGGGTAAACTACTGTGTATGATGAATGAAACAACGATTACGGTTTAGAGTATTTTAGGGAAATAATATAAAAATAATATCGTTCATGTAATATAAATAATAATTATCGACCGCGGACACACACACACACACGCATCATTCATCAATATTCAATATATTGTGTAATAATAATAAGAATAAGAATTTCATGCGATCATGCGAGACATGATCGGTCGGCGAGGAAGAAAATGCAAGATGGTATAAAATAAGTTGTTTTTTATGGTTTCTGGTAATTTAATTTTAAATAATATGTTTTGAGTAAAATAAAATGTATTTTAAGATGTGTTAAAATTGTCATCAGATAAAGTTATAATTATAAAAGTTGATATTTGATTTTCATGTTGTAAATATTTTTGTTTTTGAAGGCTTAAAACACTGAGATTCAACACTACCTCTCCCAAACATTGTGTTTTTTAATCATTTAAATACTGAACACTACAGGACCGTATTATAACATGGGTCTAGGGCCTACGGTAGAGTTAATCCGGGCCTGACCACGGTTATGGATAATGTATTGTAATTAGAAATTAGAATGTTGATAATTTCATAAGAGTTCAACAAGTAGCCGTAGTTCTTTATCCATGATGGTGCTAGTATCACTGCAGCGCTTTGTCCGTTTCGACAGTGCGGCCACTGCCCGATCGCAGGCAAGGTCTTGGAAGATATCTTTCTATTTTTTTAGAAGACTGTGATAGTATCCGCCTCCCACCTTAGAGTGAGTGAGTGCAGCAGCTGTGCGCGCGCGCGTGTGTGTGTGTGTGCGTTAGTATCCCTCATCCATAATAATAATCAAATGTGCAATTGACAATAACTGAATAACAACATTAATCATTATGCAGTATTGCAGCAGGCTCTGACTGTCGGCGACTCACTCGAGTTACTTAATAATAGTTAGTATCTACAGTGCTCTTAGGTGTTTTAGTTCGCGTCTGTTTGTTCGGCGGTGGTTCTGTTTTGTTTTGTAAGTGTCCGTAATCATGGTATAATAAATATTATGAATAAAAATAAATTAAAGTACGACAGCAGTTGTAGTGCCGAAAAACGATAAAAATTATTCAGTGGTCAGAGAACAAATGGTCTGAACCACTGGTGGCCCTCTACGCGATTGATCTTGTGTGGTTCGTAAATTCTACCTTAGGTTCTGAGCTTCCTTCTCCTCTCAGGAAGCTTAAAAAATATTATGTCGTCGTTGACACACGGGTTGCTGGCTGTGTTGTGCTTGGGCCAAGCCATGGCGTACATCGAAAGTAAGTAATTACCGACTGTGAACACACCATTTTAAATATTTATAAGGGTCCAGGGGTTCACTCAGCAGAGATCACTCTGTAATATCTCAGTATATGTCTATACTCTGTAATATAATGTCACTGCTCTGAGCATGATCAATTCTCGTCTTTGGCTTCTCAGGCGTACATTTTGATTTTCTGAAGACCAAGTTGATTTATCATTGAAATCTTTGTATATTTATTATGAATATGTAGGTACCCAATATCTATATGTAATTAAAACTACAACAATACCTAAAGGTTGTTGGCACATTCTGTGGTTGATTAAAGATATATTGGTATCATTACAAAAATAAGTTTTTAAATCATTATACTATAATCATTTATTATATTATAAAATGCTTTATATTTCTGATGACTTGGCCAAGGAATTATAGTGTTATGGACTTCTGGCTGATGAGCATTAGAAAAGAGTATTATTACCTCATTTACAGTTGCAGATTAATCTTAGAATGATGTTGTACTTCATGTTATTTATTTTTATTTAGGTATTACAAAAATATTTTTGTTTTAGTAGATTCAAAATAATTCTATGGAAAATATTGAAGACTGATACCTACAACTTACTAATGAATTACATCAGTGGTGGTGTAATTAGGAATTGTTTCTGGGGTGGGATATACGTTTTTATAATCGTAATAGTGGGGATCGTAGATCATAAAAATATTATATGTTGTCGTAATGCTCTAAAAAAAAAAAAGGAAACATCATAATATTAAATTAATTTATTATTATAAATTAAACGAGGAAAACGGTTTAATAATGGTTTAGAAAGACAATAAAGTAAAAAATTTAACTATTCATAGTATAAAGTCAATCTTTATTTTATTTTTTTTATTTTTCACTTAAATGTCAAGTATGTCTTCGGGATTCAATTTGATGTCCCAATGCACTGACAACATTTTTAGTCCATTCAAACGTTCCTATTATGTCAGTGAAAATCCTAAATTACAGTGTATTCTCGATTATCAGCCATCTTCCACGAAATCATCTACATGCCTGTATGTATACAAAAAAAATTTGTATGCATACATTTATTTACATTATAAATCGTTATCGGTTTAATTGGGTGATAATTTGTGATAGCCGATTACTCGATAACGACGTAAAATGCAATACCCTTGTTGAATATTAATACATTTGTACATATTGTGTTATGTTGGGAAATAAAAAAAATTTCAATTTCCAATTTATTTTGTATTATTTTTTTAAATATTGAGGATTATTCCCGGAATTCATTTATCCGTGGGTGGATGTCCTGCCACCCTATTCCTCGGATTATCGAGGTACACTGTACTAATATTTATTTGGCTAGGATTTCGATGCACTTTTAAATTGTTTTCCAAATCTGGCCATGCAATGCACGTTTTATTACATACTCGTTTCATGTATTGTTAAACAAAATATAGGATTTTTGAGGAATTTTAAAGTTTTTGAATCAAAAATTTGAATATTTGAAATTTTACTTAAAAATGTTTACATGCTTTTACATGATTTTTATAAAAACTGAACAAACTATAACTATTAACTATGTACAGGTAAATAAATGTATGATCTAAACCTATATCCAAACAAAATAATTATGTACATATGGAAATAACTGTTTTTAAAGATTAAGAAGTCCAAAACAATCAATTCAAGCTGTGAAACTATTTTACTAAAAAAAAAATGAGTAAATTTTACAGAATTTTCAGGGCATTAAAATCCCAGGCCTTAATATTGTATAATTTATAAAAATAATAACTATTAACAATATTAAGATTTTTAACTTATTCTGTGTTCTTATAAGTCGTGGCTTAAATATACTAGGTTATTGGTATAGTACCCCCAGTATATAATATTGTATCACATTAAGAAATTAAAATGGAAGCATATGTTGTCCCCAAATTATATTTAAGCCATGTACCTTACCCTGCCATTTTATTTTGTTCGATAACAATATAATATGCCTATGTGCAATAACCTTGTATACTAAAGCTAGGGTATACGTCTTAGGCGGTTAAAAATGATGTCAGAAGTCATAAGTTGTAATTTTTCATCAGTTTTATCTTTTAACTGTGATAATAGTAAGTTAACCATTGTTCATTTATTTTTATTTTTAAGGGGACGCTACACCCGCATGTGTTGTCTCCGTCTTACAAACGTAGAACATAGCAAAAACATATTTTGCGCGGGAAAGAACCGAGAAAGCTACAGTCATAATTAAGAAACGAAATTTTCACCACATAAAAAGGAGAACGTTGGCTGTGCAATGTCGTTTTTATATTTTCGATATCGGAAGTACAAAAAAAGTTATTCAAATTTGAAAAATACAAAAACAAATGTATTTTGAAACAATAATAACTTTTTTCATATAAGTGATATCGAAAAAATAAAAACGATATTGCACAGCCAAAGTTCTCCTTTTTATGTGGTGAAAATTTCGTTTCTTAATTATGACTGTAGCTTTCTCGGTTCTTTCACGAGCAAAAAATAATTTTGCTATGTTCTACATTTGTAAGACGGAGACAACACATGCGGGTGTAGCGTCCCCTTAAATCTTCAAATATTTTTTAACCGAGAACTCACAGTAATTTAACTTCAGTTATTTCAGTTCGGCCGCAACATTCAGTATGAACGCACGCACGTCGCTTTATTCGGCGTATCGCTCCGTTATCTCTGTGCTCTCTCGTTAATTAACATTATGAATACGCGTATTTTAGTCAACATAAATTATTTGTTTTTATTATAAACTTATAATGAACAACAGCGCCCGTAGTCCGGGCTTAAATTCTTCACGCACACCCAATTCGTCTAAAAGAAATTTGTCCAGTTCGTCGCTGTCGCCGAGTCTGACTGACAAAAAATCAAAAGTTTTTATAACACCAAATCGTTTTGCCGAACTCGCCACAAATGACTCCGGCGACCAAGAAGCCGCAACCACGCCCGCATCCAACTCGATGGACGCTCCTCCAGCGAACCAGCCTCACACCGTTCAGGTCAGAAACCCGGACATTCCACCTATCTTTATTAAAGGCATAGCGAACTTTTCCGCTTTCAATACCATCTTAAAAAATATCACCAGCCCGAAAGGTTTCACCTGCAGGGCATCATCGGAATACCTCAAGGTTATACCATCAAGTCGTATAAATTACAATAAAATCATTGACCACTTACATGAAACGGACGCCAGTTTCCACTCATATACCCCCCGTCACCTCCGCACCTACAGAGTCGCCATTAGAAACCTGCACTATTCCACATTAAACATCGACATCATAAACGCACCGAACGAGCTAGGTCACAAAGTAAAGCACGTGTACAACGCCAAAAACAAAAACAAATCCCCCCTTCCACTATTCTTTGTAGATGTCCTACCTCAGGACAACAATAAAGAAATTCACGACATCACATCACTACTTAACACTAAAGTTAAGATCGAGAAACCGCATAAAAAGCGCAGCCCTCCGCAATGTCATAACTGCCAATCATACGGACACACGAAAAACTGTTGTGGTCATAAACCTAGATGCGTAAAATGCGGTGAAAATCACCCCACGGAAGACTGTTCCAAAGACTGCAACAGTCCCGCCAAATGCGCCCTATGCAGTGGGGACTACACTGCCAACTTTAAGGGATGCCCAGTATACAAGGCAGCTTCCCAAAAAGCTGCTCCAAAAATTCCACCAACTAAGCGCCCTCAATTCAAAGCTCACTCCACAGCAAAATCATACGCAGAAGCCACCAAACAACAACAAAACTCACACACAGAAAAATTCACCGACACCTGCTCCAGGCTTATATCTAATTTAAGCTTATTAATAAATCCTCTTATCTCCCTACTATCCACAGTATTAAATACTCTCACTACTAAAGGCATTATTTCCCCATAATTACATTTGTCCGGATTCCCGATTAAACCTATAACCTGTACATTAAATCACATATTATATTTTATACCATAGTTAGATAAGCTAATAGCTAATATTTATATTAAAAATATACATTATGTTATACTATGTTAATTTAAGCTACATTGTAATAATACTAAGTGTATTGAAACAATTAATTTGAATAAATGAAAAAAAAAAAAAAAACTTCAGTTATTTAAAAAAAAAAGGTTGTGTGATGGTAGATATATCTTCATATCCCCCCCCCCATAATTAAGCCAGTGAATTACATAATAGAAATCCATTTTGTACTTACAAACAGCTAGTTTTTAATGTATAGAAATTGTTTTAACTATAATAATTTACTGTAATTTATAAATAATCTAGGCAGATGTTTTTGAATTTTCTTTTGGTTATATTATCTTCCCCCGAAAAAAATTACCTGGTTTGATCAAATATTTATCATTTGTTATTCAACAAAATAAGTATGACGAAAAAAATTGTTTTCATTTGAAACTGTTTTAAATATTCACACTAGTGACATACACTAATTGTGTATTCATATGTTGATGAATCTATACAAAAATCAGATGTGTTAATAGTTAATTGACCTTTTAAAAGTTTGTCTCCCATCTCATCTTACCTTAATTAACTCTATGTGACTATGTCACAATATTGTATATTTTATATTTCATATTTTCATCCATTATGTACTACAATAGACCTCGCAATGGAGCTAATTGTTTTCTTACAAATATGTTTGTACCTAGAAAGTTGTTTTTAATTTTTAGGGACTATGTACACAATGTTTTTTATTTTAGTTGCCCTTAACTATTTTTTCAATACAAAACGTAAATTATGAGTTGAAAACAATGGTATTTTTGAATATTTTGAAGTAAAAAAACTATTTGGGAGTGAAATTGATAGGTAAGCCATACCAATCATTTGAGCTTATAAAATATGTATGTCATTACATTGATATGTTTTTATTTTACCAATTAGGTACTTGTTAGTGCTTGTAATCTGCATGCAAGTAAAGCTGTAGTAAACATTTTGTTTTTAAATCTTTAAATTTATTACCTAATTTCTAAATCCGGAAGTACTAACAAAGTATAACATTTGTTTTATTATACACTATAAATCCACAAAATTAAATAGTAAAAGTAGTTTAATAATTGAATTTTTGGCATTTTTAGGAATAAATGAATGTTCAAAAAAATGATAAATCAAAAACAATTCTTATTAACTTGTTATGAGACGAAATTATATCAGACTGAGAGTACTTAAATATAAGTTCTTTTTAAAAATTGCCCTAATTAAGACTTATCTAAAATATAAGTTTATGCTTTTGTTAAAAACGTAAAGTAATAAATTTGTCTTTTCCTTTTGTTTGTAGAAATCGTGGAAAACGATAGTGTTTGTTCGATGAGTTTCCTTTCAAATAATTTAGACTTATCTGGCCGTGAAGATCAGTCAGCTATGGTGATCAAAGATAACCAATATTTTCATAAGTGGACTGGCAAGAATGAATTTAATTGTAAATTTACAGTAACTTCCTCACTTGGGTTGGGTGTTTTTGCGGTCATACAACATATGTCTTTTAGACGTAATGCTCAAGGACAATGTATTGATTATATTCAAGTACGTATGTTTTATTATTATTTATTTTAATGTTTAATCATTATTTAATGACTTATAGTTTCGCCACGCTGAAAAAACCTTGAGTGTTCTAGACTTAAATTTCAAAATTAAGTCGTCAGAGAGCTGGGGCGAGAAAATTTGTGGAAAATTAAATGCATTTGAAGCCAATATTGGTAATGAATATAATCAAGGCAGTGATGGAAATGATGATAAAGAAATAAAAAATTCATTTGTTGATCATAAGGGTATTGTCGAAGTTAAAATATATCTTGGAAATAAATCTATCGAGTCCAGTGATGAACTAAAGTTTGAGATTGTGTTCACAGCATTTCAAGGTATGTTATTTTTATATTAATAAAGTGCTAAATATATTATACTGTTATTTTGTTCATTGAAACACAATAATAAATTGACTTTTTTTGTAGAATGCAAATTTGACAATGGTCATTGGAGAAGTTGTGGTAGAAAAACATGTATTTTTAAAGATTTTTTCAATGATGGGAAAGTTAACTGTCCATACAAAAGCTGTAAAGATGAGAGTGGTTGTCGGCCAGTAGTCTCAATACTCAATAGTAACTACATGAGCAGCACAACTTTTGGGACTAAAATTGTGGCTGCAACAGTTGCCTGCTTGGTAACCATGATTTTAGTGTTCATTGCATTCCTATGGATATTCAGGCATTGCGGACCTGCATTTTGTTGTATAAGCAACCCTAATAGCCATCCGCATTCTTCTGAAATGATACCAGTGCCACGCTTGGACACAATGGCTATTCTAGCTACAGCTCCACCTGAATCTATGGCTAGCGGTACTGAAGTAAGAACAGCCGATAAAGATCTACCACCTTCATACGATTCGTTGTTCCCAAGTAAATAATAACTATGATCAATATTTTAAAGATCTGTATAATTTCTTCATCTATCTCATATAGTTTATAAGGTGGATTTTATACCTTTATTTAACATTTCTATCTGAACAAATTTATTATTATTATTTTTTTTTTTTGGAGAGAAATAAGTAAGACATTTTAAGCTAAGTACACCAATCATGTTCGATTGTACCAGTGATTTTTTAATTTTCAAAACAAATTCGTTTTTATTTTAGTAAGATTATATAACTGATTAAAAAAAAAATAGTTAGAAAGTTCTAATATTTTGACCTATTTAGATATTTTTTTTTACTCTTGTTTAAAGAGTGGGACACAGTGTCTTGCTATTTTCTCAAAGTATTAAGAAAAACACCACCATGAGTCCCACCATGTATTTATCTGCTCTCAAATTGAACAATTAATAGTAAAACTATCATCTTTATTCTAGTATTTTTTGTTACACAAATTAATTATTTTATATCATATATTTATTTTTTTTAATGGTTTTGTATTAAATATAATAATTATTTACCAACTGGGACTACTGAAGTGTCACATACAATAAGTATACTCTTTTTATAACCAACAGAAAACTAGACATTGTTAACACACAAGACTGAATATCTCAACAATTTCAAATTGATTATTACATATCACTTAATAACTTATGCAAATTAAACCAAATTAAAAAGATACAATTTCATCTTCATTTTGATAATAGCATTAATTTTTTAAAACATTGTTAACACACAAGACTGATCACCTCAAAATTTCAAAATGATTATTTTCTATCAGTTAAAACTTATACGAATTAAACCGAATTTAAAAAAAAAATGACATTTTCATTTTAATAATAACCTTAATTTCTTTAGTATTCAGATTTGTGTAATGTACAAATGTATACTCTATAGGTATATTCATTTTATCAACTAAATCAGTATTTAAAATAACTTAAGTTTCTAAACTTTATGCACAACACAGTATATTTGTGAATATCTTGTATAACTTGTATAATTGACTGAGCATCTAAAAGGCATCATTATTTTGATTATAATTTGTTGCTCTTGCATCAGACTATTGGGCCCCAACTTTTAAAATTACCTTAATATTTATTATTCAAGATTTAATAATATCTTTTTCTATTGATGTTTAGTCTTTTTGTATTTTGCCGATGTTTATGGACCACCACATAGATTTCTAAATTATGTTTCTGTTTTAAAATTATTTTATTTTTATCTTTTTAAAACATTATTTTAATTTAATGTTATGAGGTCTTGCGTTTTATTGTAATATATAGTATAGTATACATTTATTTGTTTATCATTTTACTTAAAGCGATATGTCAGCGCAATATTTGTTTTCTTTCTCAGACCTATGCGTAACATAAATAAAACGTTTTTACGTAAAATTGCTTTTTATGATTTTTGAGTAACCTTAGAGTAAAATTATCTATTAAAAAATTATAGAAGATAATACTTTTTAAGGGTATGACATATTAATTTTATATTTTATTATTATTCGACTTTCAAAATAAAAAAAAAAATTTAATTTAAATAAGCCTCAGAAGAAAATGGTGTAGAGATCTTCTCAATGAGTAATTAAAGTAGCTTTAAACATTAAAAAAAAAAATAAATAAATAACTTACATTATTTTGAATATATATTTAGATAAATTGATACGTCATTCCTTCAAAAATATTATTATTTTGATTTTTTTGTGGGTAATTTTACTCTTAAGATTATTCAAAAAAAAAATAATAATAATTCTGCTTAAATTTGTCAATGTTGCACTAAGGCCAGAGAGAGAAAACAAACAATGCGCTGATATCTTCTTAACACTAGTAGTAAGTGCAATACCACATCACTACTATAAATGTTAACTAATATTTTGAACCAAAAGTCAAATATGTATTATGTCTAATATTGTGAAGCATATTTGCTATGTATTATTTTTACATAATAAGACATTAGGTAAAACTTCATTAATCTGACAAAGTATTCTTAAAGAACAACCTTTTTTTATTTGTATAATTATATTATTATTGGCTAACTTTAAGTAAAATTAATTTTGATATTATTATATCCTTTATGTTTATTTTTATATTGACTTAAGTACCAAAGACAAATTATATTGCTTGTACCTTAATAATTTTAGATACTTTGGTATTTGTAAAGAATAATTACATTTTTTTGTATACATATCTATAAACTATATGTCAATATACATTTAAAAATATTCATGCGTGTAAGACTCGTGTATACAATTAATATTACCGATAAATTTATATTTGAAGTATTATTTACTACACTTCAATACTGTAAATTGATACTGTGATAAAAAGAAAAGTATATTTATATCTAATATATAAAATTCGTTATTGAACATTAACACAAGTGTTTTTTATTTGTCTTACCGGTCTATAATTTAGTGATCACAAACCACTAAGAAATTGAACAATAGCAAGCTCGTCAAAAATTGTGGAATAACACTACGTGAAGTAAAATAAAAAATCACCTGAACCATAGAAGGGTTAAAAAATGATATAGGTTGTCACTTGTTAATATACCTACTCATTACCTATTGGCTATTCAGTTGTTAATAGAACTGAAGTGCATTTATTATGAATTTATATTGACTTTTTTTCAATTTGATAGACTGAGATTGGGATGCTAGAGTAGGGATTTTAAGACAGATGATCCTTAGTCTGTAGTCTATACCTATCTTGTCTTAAAAATTTCTGACACAATAATTTACAATACATATAGTCGTTTAGAGAATCTGATATATATTTTGTTGGGGTCATCGTAGAATGTAAGTTCTGATTATTGATTGGTAATTTCGGCGCCATAGGGTATTGAAAATTAAGGTAATTTGATCCCAACTTTTTTTCTTCCAAAACATTCCTGTCTTTCACCAACTAAAATCAAATAATAAGACTTCTGAAAACATTTGAATTTATCACAAAATTTCCTCGATAACTATTTGGATGATAATAAGGTCAATATTTTAATAAGAGCTTAGAGTATCTACAAAAATAGTTGTTCTTCTTAAAACAATTAACTAAATTTATGATTTTTCTATAAAAATCATATTTTTAGTACCTCTGGCTAAAAGTAGTATCGCCACATAAATATAACTGGTAAACACTTTTTCTGTAAATATAAAATGTGTATCATATTTTACCTAAACTGGTCGTTATTATGAACTTATGAAGTGAATGCTGTATATAAATATATTATCAATCGCAATGTAAATGGTTACTGTTGCATACTGTAAATTCAAAAATTTTTTAAAAGAACTTGAAAGTTCTTATGCAATCTCCTTTGGATACTTGTTTAGATGAAGGGGTGGGACTGTTGACATTGTAAAAGCTTTGTTCCCTGTCCATAATTTTTAAATAACACAGTGAGGTATATAGATTATGCTATGTTAAGTGCTATCCAACATTTTTAATCACTAATCAGCATTAGCAAACAGTGCACACTTTTAATATGCTATATATATTATAATTATGGTGACCAGATAAAAAAAAAAAGTGCAACAAATTAAACAACTTTTATTCATTTTGAAACATAATTGACATAACATCATAAATTTTTAATCGTACTGTTAATTAAAAAATGTACATATTTATTATACTTATACACATTGATATTGTTCTATGATGATATCATTCGTATATTAAATGATAAATCATGAATTTTCGTAAAACATTGATAGGGATGCATTTTAGTTTTACTATACAAATCAAAGGTGTCAAAAATGTTATTATTGATTAGGTTATTTTAAAAATAATTTCCATTTGGAATAGTTAATTCATTTAAAATTAGTACTTTTAGTTGTACTTCAACAATTTATTTAGGATAATAGGACATGTCTTCAAAAAGAAGTACTCTCCTTATAAAATAAAGTACATCTGGCCACCATAATTAATAATGCATGATGTCTTGCTTAAAATTCCAACAATTAAAATAGATAATGTCATATTGTTATTAATCGATGCTCAATATTATTATTATATTTATACATTGGAAAATTGTTTTTTAAGTGTCACTGTAAGATATTATTACATTTCATAGCATTTTATTGCATTGAAATGTATAATAGTATTATACCTGAATTATTCTGTACTAGTATAAGCGACTCAAGACCAATATTGACCTATAAGTTCCCAACTTGGACTGGATTTTTTTACACGGCGTATTAGATAGGCAATATAGGTACATAACTGTATTGAATGTTTAAAAATTTATAGATTTCCTGGAGAAGTGAAGTATAATATACATACTCTATGCATCATTCTGATCCATTTAAGAGAATACACTAATTCTTTCGAAAAGTATTAACTGTTTTTAAATTTTTTTCTCTGAAATTCTTGGATTTATGATTTTCTAAAACTGTATAATATTAAAAAAATTTTCACTCTTGTATTTATTGGTGAAACCACTATCAATTTTTGATTTGCTAATGGGAACATGTAACAAAAAGGTCATAAATAGATAAAACTGTTTTTATCATGAATTTTCACATTAAAATATTTATTTTTCGTTATGTCGTTTGTGAGATACAGCTTCTAAAAGTTTAGTGGTCAAAGGAGGTGTTAGAGTTGGTAGGCAGTAGTGCTAAAAATATCGTATTTACAGGGAATTCGGTACCTATGTCTAATTAGTCGATAGTCTAATAAATTATTTGGGTTCAAAGTTCAATAGTGATCACTTAATAATTGTTACCTTGGGTCGAGCCAATGGAAGAATGGTTGAATCTAAAAATGTTATCAAATTCATCATTTAGAGCTCCTGGTATTTACAAATAAATAAATAGTAGAATCAACAGTCAACACCTCCTTCAACCACCAACCTTTGAAGAGCTATACCTCGCAAACGAAATAAAGGTCCCCACACGCTGCAGCGGTAGCGGTAAAATGAGTCCGGACACAATTTACCGCCACCGCGGCGGCACCGCCAAGACAAAAGAATTTTACCGCTACCGCTGCAGTGTGTGGGGATCTTAACGAAAAATAAAAAATTTAACGCAAATATTCATAAATAAAATGGTTTTATTAATTTATGACCTTTTTATCATAATATGTTCCTATCTGAAAATCAAAAGTTGATAGATGTTTGATCAATAAATATAAGAGTGAAAAAATTTTTAATATTATACAGTTTTAGAAAAGCACAAACTTAAGTTAAAAAAAAATCAAAAAAAGTTTATACTTTTAGAGATAATTAGTATACCCTCTTAAATGGATCACTCTGTATCAATGTATTATACTACCACCTACCATCGTTTTCGAATAAATAATAATAAACATTATAAATATTAGGCTGTCGGAGCACTCTCAAAACAACTCGCTGATTAAAATATCTGCAGTTAAAATTTTTTTTTCCAGTTTTTAACCGACGACGCCGCGGGAACTGCTTTTGCATTGCTTCCGCGGCGCCGCCATCGTTGAGTTCAAATTATCCCCGTTACAAATAACCCAGTAAAAAAAAATCTTGTACACAAAAATACAAAATATCGCCATTAATATCGTATATTATCCCTATATTATTTTATATGATGTGATTTATTAATTTTCAGCGTAGGTTCCTAAAAATTATATAGTCGTTCAAATCCTCAAAAATGCTGGGCGTATTTCCTGCACAACCTGCAGACACTGAGAAACCTATACCGCAGTCCTTACAAGACATGAACTTTTGGTTATACCTTAAATTCACATTATTATAACCTTACGCGGCACGTCAACATTTTTTTCAGACATTTTAGATTCTTGGACCAAGTTATGGACGTGAATGGAATCAAAGTCAAAACGGCGGATTCTCTTATTCAATATTTTAACTCATTT